TGGGAAACCATGCGTTATAGGGGCTGGTATAAGCTATAGAGCCAGGCAATTCCATCCTCACTACTGACCCTAGTATTTGCTTTTCCAGTATTTGCTTCTCCACTTGGGCTGGACGGTAGAGCGACGGTCTAGCTTCATGCAGGTCAGCGTTCAATCCCCGACCATCCAAGTCGTTGGGCACCATTCCTTTCCCCCCGTCCCATTCCAAATCCTTATCCTTATCCCTGTGCTATATATATATATATATATATATATATATATATATATATATATATATATATATATATATATATATATATATATATATATATATATATATATATATATATATATATATATATATATATATATATATATATATATATATATATATATATATATATATATATTATATATATTATATATATATTATATATATATTATATATATATATATATATATATATATATATATATATATATATATATATATATATATATATAATATATATATTATATATATATATATATATATATATATATTATATATATATATATATATATATATATATATATATATATATATATATATATATATATATATATATATATATATATATATATATATATATATATATATATATATATATATATATATATATATATATATATATATATATATATATATATATATATATATATATATATATATTATATAGTCGTAATGGCTTGGCGCTTTCCCCTGATAGTTCCCTTCCCTTTTCCAGTAAGACGGAGGCAAGAAGCAGATTAGAGCGGTACCTGGTCATTACCAACTACAGTTGAGCTGGTGTCCTCATAGTGACAACTAACTTGGGTACCCAGTACACAACTCTCTCTCTCAACTCTGGTACATCACAAGATAACACTAATGCTTTCATCTTCGTCCAGCGGCCTCAACACTCCGTCCTTGGTGTCAGAGCGCGACAATCTCCCGAAACAACTTTTGCTCTTCCATACTTCTTCAGTAGTAACACAACTCGACACACTGGGTCACGTTACTTCTCTCACAATATTGAAGGCTGCATGCAGACTTGATACATCGTTAATTCTATTCGCATAAATACATACGTGTACAGAGCTCATGACATGAAATTAACAAAAACAACTATTATCCAGATCAGAAATACGGAATCTTTGGCTCGAAATGCTGTCAGATAAATCTGCAAAATAAAAAAAGCCAAAAATAGTGTTAACTAATATTTCCAGCACCCATGGCCTTCACTCCGGGGTCCTACAATTTCAGCCAGAAGCGTGTCCATTTCGACGCAGATCTTCAGTCCTGTTATCGAGTATTGTCTAAACACAAAGACTTATTGGATATTTTATTTGTACACAACGCAATATGGATAATAATGGAGGCGATACGTCCCTCAAACAATAGCTTGGACCGCACGACGCAATACACAAATCTGTCAAGCTTGAATGCAGAGACTAAGTCACAATGAGGTGACAAGATAAAAGATAGCCCAACCCACACACTTGAACATCAAATAGATCTTTCGGTCCGTCCTGACCATTAATGCGCTGATACTAACCGAGGGATGAGAGGGGAAGGAACCCATATAAGACAAGGGAGGTGGCGAAGTGCAAGTGGGTACAGGAAGGCATAATACAGAGCTCGGTTTTCATATGTATACATTATGTACCATTCTTTCAAGTTGTATTTTACTGAAAACAGAATAAAATATTTATATAACAATGGTAGACATTCACAATAACATTATTTACTTCAAAAAGTATTCTCTAAATTATTGTTCAATCATGCATACTGAACATTACTAAGCATAGCAGATAAACACTAAAGACAATTTACATTAGTTAACGTTACGTTCATTTCAGTTCTTCAATGAAAATGGGTATTGATTAGTTACGCGAATGTTGAGCCCTATTCATTTATCCTGACATAAAACATGTGAAACATTAATGCAAAGCCAGAACAGGGCTACAATTATGTGGTGTTCAGTATCAGATCATTATACAGGTATCTTATAAGTTACCTGAGGGATATAAAGCCCATCTCATTTCGACCTTGAGAAACAGTAGCTATCCTCCGCCCCATATTTGTCCGCAAGTCTCCTAACTGGTAGAATTTAATCCACGTTGTGGGTCAATGTCACAGTAACAGGTCAGGGCAGTCTTCATGCGAGTAGCCTGAAGCCTTCATTATAAAACCAGATGGCTATCATCTTCCATATTTGTGTTATAGCTAATTTCAACTACATAGCGTCTATTTTCACTATATTTACGGCACCACAAACTGGATGAATTACTTTCCCCCGAGTGAAATCAGTGGTGGTGGAATGCACAGGGTCGCCGGCTACTGATAGGCCCTCCTCTCCCTGGTGAGCACTGATGGCGCCCTTTCCCTGGGCCGTACTGATGGCGCCCTTTCCCTGGGCCGTGCTGATGGCGCCCTTTCCCTGGGCCGTGCTGATGGCGCCCTTTCCCTGGGCCGTGCTGATGGCGCCCTTTCCCTGGGCCGTGCTGATGGCGCCCTTTCCCTGGGCCGTGCTGATGGCGCCTTTTCCCTGAGGGAGCACTGATGGCGCCCTTTCCCTGGGCCGTACTGAAGGCGTCCTCTCTCCTATTCAAATCCTGTGGCGGTGTTTAAGGTCTTATCTCCTGTGATGTTGACCCGCATCTTAGCGCCTACACGTTAATATGCTTGTCATCCTCAAACGCAGCATGCAGGCAAAGTTGACTTTAATGTATGTTTGCGACCCTTGTGGCTGTTATTGCGTTTTTTCTTTTACTGCAGAAACGTAAACAGCATTGGACGCCGTTCAATACATATGTGAATACACAAATACTGTAAGATGACATTAAGTCTCAATCACACCGCCTGTCTATCATTTAATAAAACCACCAAATAATGATCATTTAATATTCCTAGCTTGATGTATCCATTGATAAATAATTAAATGATACATTTCTCAGACGTCGTAAGCGTGATTCCGTTGAGGCTGCATAAATAAAATATGTTTTATCACGTTTACAAAGGATCGTAAAATATTGAAGCCTAACACCAACAGACACTCTCAGGTTGACTCCAACCGAAGGAATAAACTGGAGGTAATAGTGCTCAGTGGCTAAATAGGACCGCAGGACACCTCTTATGAGCATAAAACACACACACACACACACACAAGGGAAAGAGGGGACATGATCACTACATACAAAATAACAACGAATCTACAAAATATACAAAAAGGGATTCCTGAACCTGCAGCTACAAGAACAGGTCAGATTCAAGTTAGGGAAACATATTTGCTGAAATAATACAAGCATTTTTTTTCGAGTGATAGATGGTTGGAAAAAATTAAGGGAGAAAGTGGTGGATCCCAAAAATCTGACCTGAAGAGGGAATTCACAAACCAAATTTGACTGTCTACAAGGCAATGCGTGTGCAAATGTAATATACTTTTTAAATGATGAGTGTAGTTGACTTCTACAACTTGTTCGTTTAGTGTGACTGATCTCGGGAGGGGGAGGGGGGGGGAAGCAATGGGACACCAACTCCTAGGTCCTTTTCTTTATCAATCTGCTAATGGATCGTGTTGTTGATATGGTAGTTTTGTGTTGAATGTTATGCCTTACATATAATGTCTTTCATTTTTTTTCAATACTGAAAAGCATTTGCCAGTGTTCTGTTCATTCGTTAGTTTCAAGGTGGTCAAGTCACAATTTTACCTTTGAAACCTCTGGCCTATCTTAAATTATTATTAAATTTAGCTTATATGAAATTATTCTGCGCGCACTGTATTAATGACGTCGGTTGGTAATTCCCCTAGCTTATATAAATTCCAGGTAAATATATAATCTAATCATCAATCAAGATAACTATTTCCGGGAGTATAATGTATTTTCATATCTACACTACATGTCAACTGTACGAATTATAACTGCTAGCGATCTATCCTTGATCGCTTTGGTACTGAATACAAAAAAACTGACAACGGGACAGAGGTGGTGGAACCCGGCGCCTGGCATCCAGACTGGTCAGGACCACCTTATAAGCCTCAAGACCTTGAGATGACGGCCAACAGCTACTAGGTTCTCCTAAGGCCTAGTCTTCTACCAACAATCATCAATATGGCTCAATGATCGCAGGTTTTATAATGTCAATTAACCAAACTGCTTTATTTATTAGTATCTGAAGTTATATATTATAAAGCCAAGGATACTATTGGGTGACCTCAAACCAGTCACATTAATTTATCTGCCACGGGCAGGAGCAGGACACCTTGCACACTAAGACTTGAAAGACAAGTTTTAGTGTGGCAGGCTGTGGCTAAGTAGTTACAGGGGTGTCCGTGTGGTTCTGGAAGATCGGCAGCATGAACCAATGGTGTGGATGGTAAGGGGTATGAATAACGAGGGAGTGTTAGGGTGGATGATTAGAGGATGTAGACAAAACATTTGCCACCTCTCCGCCTGACCTGTGGCTAATAAAAGCCCTCTTGTAAAAAAAAAATCCGAATTTGTAATACCATTTGAGTTAACAGTGCTTCCTTCTTGTCAACCTTAATTCAATTTAGCACTTACCGCTTAAATATGAGGCGAGTAAACAAGGATACCCAAAGACAAACACTGAATAATATACTCTCGAGAGTTAAAGAAAACAACAATTTTGCTCTTTAGTTAGCAGCTTTGATGAATGACAATGCTGTCATGAGGTGGATGTCCGTCTGGGCAGACGCCAGCCAGCTAGTGCTAAAGTGAGCGTGCACTAGCCTGGGTAGTAATACCACCACCACCGTATGTACTTCACATTTTATATTAATAATGACAAAACTTTTCGATATTTTAACTGAGGGAACAGCCAGTGTAAATAATGAGTGTTGTGCAAGCCTTGGCAGAGCCTAGCCTTGAACAATCAACAATACAAGTTCACTGTAACCACACCAAGCTGTGCAATGATTTCTTGCTTCATGTTGATAAATCATTATTCCTGAAACCACAAACAGCATCAAGACTTACCCAGCGGTTGGTGGCGGGACCCTCGAGCTCTGCTATCTTGTGTCCCTTGCCATCCATCAGCACGATCCACGAGTGGGTGCCGCCCCTGCAACGTCAATAACCAACATTATTTATTAATTTACGAGATAGGGTACCCTGCGGGGCCTGGGTCCGTCCCCACTCCGCTCACCATATCTTTTCCTGCCCCACTCTCTCTCCCTCCCTTTCCCCTCCACGCCGCTCCGCTCTCTTTTTCTCTTCTCTGCTCTCTTCCCCCTCCCTTTTCAATCCCTTACCCCTCCTCTCCCCTCCACAACGTTATTTTGACTATTGATCCTCTGATGCAACGTTGTATCGACGATGTGGTTACTGTTGAAAAACTCTTTAAAACTTAACCTTCATTTCGGAGTTTTACAGGAGTCGCAAATAGGGCCTCTTTACCTGATTTCCCTGTAACAGGGAAATGATCCCTTGCGTTATCCGGAATATTTGGGCGAGGCTAGCCTCAAGCGTCTGGCCTACAGCCTCGGACGAATAGACATTTTATATAAAGTTATTTAAATCACAGGTTACAATTGATCATATTGTAGAGCGTTTCGAGTGTTTCCCGCTTGGGTCGGACAGACGAGAGGGTGTTGTCGGATAAAAATATGAGCTGCTTCTATAAGCCAATAGGCTTTTGTAATGCCTCCAATTCTTCGTATACTACACGTATTTTCCTATTGATGTATAAGAGTTAATAGAAGGAGAATGGGAGGCCGTGGCGACAGGTGTGCCCGTGCAGGCCACACATGCCTTGAAACAGGTGTTCGCTGGCAGGATATGATGTATGATAAGTTCTATCCTGGGTGTAGGCAATCTTCCCAATATTGTATATCGATCGAGCCTATTTTTAAAGCTTTCATACCATTTGTCTCCTACTTAATAATAATGTTATTCTCCTCACTTCCGTGACATCCGTAAACTTGCTGATATTACTGCTGATGAAGGCCTCAATACAGACCCTTGGGGACCACCCCGAGTGACATTTCTCCACTCCTATTTCACCTTGTTGACACTAACCCTCTGCGTCCTATCTTGCAACCAGGCCCTGATGCGATTAAGAACTTTGCCACCAATCCCGTGGACCTCAACCTTCCTGATCAGACTAGTAAGCATACAAATTAAAGATTCACTGGTAAAGTAAGACGACAGTGGCGAAGGCATCATGGTGAAGTAAGAAAATAACAGAATTCCATCACAACACCAAAAAAAAAAAAATAAACATTCCTGCTCTAGATTAAATAACAGTACACCGATAATTGGTGAGGTGTTGTTTAAACGTTAGGCTGCGGTGTTTGAAATACTACAGTTTACATAAATGTTTCCATTAGTGTCAATATATAGAACACTAATGGAATCACGTAATGCAGGTGAGATATGCAGGATGTATTAATCTTACTCTAGAGTAGATTCTTAAGTATGTATAGGGGCAAAGTGGTGTGTGAGGGAAGTAAGGCGGGAGAGATGGATAACAACGGTAGAGGAGAAAGAAGAATAGGAAGAAACATTAATTCCACGACAAAAATTTAATTCACATATTGAATATCTGATTTTGTTTTCATACACATATTGTACGTATTTTAAGCCATTGGAGTGCCGAGAGAGGTTTATGTGAAGAGAGTGGGAGAAGGCAGTGACTGTAACGGTGCAGGGCACATGTGCTGGAGCAGGTGTTCAATTGTAGCATATGTTGTATGACAAGTTCGTCAACCCCCCGGAGTGCCAGAACTTCCCTCCACACTATAGCTATATAACTTTAAAGGTCAATACTCATCCTGACCTCAAACGCTTCCTAGCCTAGAGGGCTGAAACAGAACCCATGGGCACTACACGGGAAGCAAATATATTTGAATTTCAAGAATTACTCAACCAAACCTATATTTGCAGAAATATCATGCAAATAAAAACTTCTAAATTGTGGAATAATCTCTCACCAAATGCAATAACTTTTATTTATCTTAATAAATTTAAATGAAAAAAAAACACCTAATTAACATCATGTAGCATAATTTTCACACATTTCTTCACCCTAGATAAGTCTATTTGCATTTTGCTGGGTTAATAATAAGTATTGTATCTGTCTTGTTTATATAGTAACCCTTGAAGCTACAAATTCTAAAATAGTCTGTCCATCATTAAATATAGCATTAAAAAATTATTTATTGCTAAATGTTCTTTAACCATACATATATATTACCTTATTTCTCGTGTAGTATTAAATCTTTATCCCAAAAATGGTAGACGGACGGTAGAGCGACGGTCTCGCTTCATGCAGGTCGGCGTTCAATCCCCTACCGTCCAAGTGGTTGGGTACCATTCCTTTCTCCCCGTCCCATTCCAAATCCTTAACTTGACCCCTTCCCAGTGCTATATAGTCGTAATGGCTTGGCGCTTTCCCCTGATAATTCAATTCAATTCCATTGATTAAGTTGTGGCCGTAATAAATAGCCTTATAATATATACAAATCAAATACTGTGCTGTATTTTGTGCTACCCACTCCCCCGACATTAGTACTTATTACATGCAACTTCATCAGTGTAATACTTTCCATCAATTTATATGAAGTTATTATGTTAAAATGAAATTTTGCTACACTATACCTCTTAATAAACTTATCTGTTAGATACCTGTACGAAACGCTTTCGTGTCAGTGGCTTTGCAAGAATGCAAACACACTACTGGCATGTACCCTCACAAACCCAATTGAATACAAATAAATCTTGTATAGATTTATTGTATTGTATTCTTGTATACAAATAAACTATCTACCAAGTAACCACTGTATTCTAATCCTTTGTATACTGTATCTTATGATTATAATATTTTTATTAGATGGTTCTACAAAATACTGTAAGAGCACTTGAAAATGGTACAAATGATTAAAAGATGTGGCTACCGAAATTCATTTCCGACAAATGTAAGGTAATGAGGATGGGAAGAAAGGTAATGAGGATAGGAATAGAAGAGACCAGGATCAGGATTCATGAAGCATTTACGCAACCACTTACGAAACCTGTACAGCTTTCCTCAATCAAGGTACGTAGCTTTGTTTACATTTATTAAACAGTTTACGCGCTCTGAAGAACTACGAGGTTGTTAATAACAACAACCTTAGGTTGTGAAGTTTCGCAGCTCGTAAACTGTTTAACGTAAACAAAGTCGTTATGATCGAGGAAACGTGTACAGGTTTCTTAAGTGGTTGCGTAAATGCTTGATGAATCCTAGCCCAGGGCAACAGTATAGCCGGAGAGAAGAAGCGATTAGAAGATAGCAAGTAAAAAGGTTCCAGGTTAGGACATCACACCAAGTTTACCATCGTGTAGCAACTACATCTATGAGGCTAAAAATATATTATCGTCAACTGAAAGTTAGACAGGTCCTGGAGCTCGAGTTCAATCAGCACAAAGTTAGGGAATTATGCAAATTTAGGTATATTTAAGTACATACTGCCTTAATTATTCCAACCCTATAGACACTGCAAGTCATTTTGTCATGATCTTCCACGGAGCTCTACAACTCTCCGGTTTGGACCTGTTGTGGTGACATGCAGACACTATTTCAACTATGTTTAGATCTAACTATAATCTGCTCACACGTGCTACTTGTGAAACGCACAATGCCCGTTATTGAATTTGTTCATACGCTGCCAAGGACTCCATTACGGCGAGATACAATATTCCATCATATCAAGCCAATCGTTTGACCCCAATGGTTGTGTGCAGCTATGTGATCTCCTTTGTGTAGTAGTGCGTAATACTATATGTTGGTTTTAACACACCGATTGAGGGCAAGCAACAAACGACTACGATGCATGCAATCTAATTCAGTAAGATTGCGACATGCTTATCTTAAGAGAGTAGTTAAACTTGTAACAGTTATAAAGGCCGTATCTTCCAACTGAAGCATCTTCTTAGATATTAATACAGAACTACTTTTTGTTCTTCAAATCTTCCATGGTCTGCTTTACTAAAAATAAAATTTTAATTCAAGGCCTTGACAATTTTCCATTAAAGTTCACACTGCAGCAGTTTATATGCTCGTTTTTTTTTTAAATTGATGACTCATTACTGCACATGTGGTACACATGTAACAGTAATGTGTTTAATGAGACCATTAAAGGTTGACAGTAGTTATTGTTCAGGCCTAACACTAAGGATCCAGATTTAAATTCTTGCTGAGAAGACAGAGTCGCATAAATTCGGTCAATCAACGTATCAACCAACATATAAACATCAACTAGTTCACATATACCAAGCTAAATAGGGGATATCCATCGTCATATCTCGTTCTGTCAGCATAAATGAGCCTTGACCCACGAATGTGTATTCTTGAATATTTCGGCCGGCACCGAGAGCGAGTATTTTACTCTTGCCATAAAAAAATTGAAGGGTATATATTTTAGTCAAATTCAAAATGACTTGACAATCTTACATACCAGTAACAGATCATCCGTCAACTGTCCCGAGTTGATGGATGAGAACGTTCTTTACTAGTTTAAAATACAAGGCCAGCGAGTGTTGCAAGATGATGATGAGGATGAGGATGATGATGATGATGATGATGATGATGATGATGATGATGATGATGATGATGATGATGATGATGATGATGATGATGGTGGTGGTGGTGGTGGTGAGCGGAGAATGGCGCCTAGCCAATGTAGACAGCGTTCACAGACCCCACCCGAACGTTATTTGTGTCGTGGGGAAAAAGGAGGCGCGTGGCAATCCTAGGCTACATCAACATAACTTGCACTACTTTTAAAACCGTACGTCAAGAGTCTAGCCTGCTTATGTTGTAGATGTGGGGCACCACTGGGGGCACGAGGTCCGTGTCACCTCCGCTCCCCCGATCTAATCCCAAAGCATCACGCTTCTAAGGATATCCTTATTTCTTCTCTGCTGTTTGGCTGAGATCAAAGTATGTATAAGCATTATGGATCTACCATGGCCTAGTAATCATAAGGCAATATCAATAAAACAATTATATTAGAAGTTCCGTTCTGAAGTTTTATTTGTTATTATTATTAGTTTTTATTTATTGTTTTATTATTCGAGTGAAGC